AGCAACATTCAAAAAGTATAACAAACATGGTCAGTAAAGCTTTTGTTTCAAAGATGATCAAAGAAGGAAATGAAGAAACTGGCGAAAAAGAGCATGTTTTTTCAGGCTTCTTAAGGTTGCTCGGTTTTGGCCCGAGAAAACTGGGAGCTGTGGTATTAAACGCCGTAATTTTTATTGCTCAACTGGTGGGTCTTTTTCTCCTATAAATACACAATAATTCAACAATAGTATTATTTTTATAGATAAGTACATCTTTAAATAAACCTTCACCACCGTATTTAATTCATGAGAGAAAAATCAATGAAAATAACATGTTTGAATGGATCTCAAACAAATCCGGTATATCCGATCTGTTAACGTATGCTAAGAGCGAAAATCTTGTCGACGGTATTATAAAACATATCAGAGAAAATAGTTTAGACGAGGATTCAGGTTGTTTGCAACTTTTGTTTTGCAAAAGCTCGCCGTTTGTTGAAGGAATGCAGAAAGCTCTTAATAACGTTCATACACAAAAAGGGGTCAAAGCGTTCTTTGAGTTTCTACCAAATAGAACGGAAATTGTAAGAAATGGACAATGGTGTGAAAAGAAATTTCCATATTGTACAGTTCATTTTTGATTATTTACAGTTTCTGTCAGTGTGTTTCTAGAAATAAACAATTGTTAGTCCATTTTAAACATGTATACTGTTTAAAAGGAATACTCACCCCTAATTACCACAAAAAAAATTATTTGAAAAAATTTTTTGTGGTAATTAGGGGTGAGTATTCCTTTTAATTTTTAATTAATATCAACCACAGTCTCCTCTTTCTACTTTACTATCTATACTGTTTATAATATGGAAGAATTTAAATGAAATACAAAATAAACCATTCACAAATATATAAAATTTTGGGGATATGTTTTAATATGGTGAATAATTAATTGTACACAATTATAATCTATTATTTGTTTGCATATGATTTGTTTGATTGTTGTTTGTTACAATTTTACGCCTTAACTGCTCAACCGATCATCATGAGATTTTGTCCACACATTAGCTGTGGTACAGAAAAGGGCATAGGGTACCTTTTATCCAAAAGAAAATACTGAATAGAAGATTTGTTTTTTTTGTGTTTGCTGATGATATTTAACATGAACCTAGCACATCAATGAGAACGATGCCACGGGTAAAACCTATCGTGAAATTTTGTACACACATTAGCAGTAGTACAGAAAATGGTATAGGGTACCTTTAACCCATAAAAACACTACCATTCCTCAGGGATAGAAACATTAGTTTTATGTGGTCGTCTATGATTCTTGACACGTATTTAGGACAACAACGAGAGTGAAGCCGCGGGTAAAAGCTATCATGAAATTTTGTAGACACATTGTCAGGGGTTCAGAAAAGGACATAGGGTACCTTTTATACATAAAGACAATACTGTTCCTCTTAGATAAAAACGTTAGTTTTATGTGGTCGTCTATGATTTTTGACACGTATTTAGGACATCAACTAGAGCGAAGCCGCGGTAAAACCTATCATGAAATTCTGCAGACACATTTTCAGGGGTACAAAAAAGGACATAGGGTACCTTTTATCTATAAAGATAATACCGTTCCTCAGGGATAGAAACATTAGTTTTACGTGGTCGTGTATTCTTGACACGTATTTACGACATCAAAGAGAGTGAAGCCGGGGGTAAAACCTAGTAAGTTTATAAAAATATCAAGCGGACGAAATCGCGGTTACACAGCTACTTAGTATAATATAAAATGCATCATTTTTTTAAATTTTGTCATAACTTACTACCTTTACAATATGTTTTGGAATTATTTAGGTATTTATGCCTGAGAGAGCTTCGTCTGTGTTTTCTAGCAAGTCAGATAATTCAGCACGGAAGGAATAGTAGAGAAATAAAGGAGAGGATAACACAGGGTTGAGTTACCAGTAACAAAAAGAAGTCACATCATCTGTGCTCCGAACGGTTAATTTAGAAATTCGAAAAAGATTTTAGAAAATACTACAAATGGCGCAGTAAACGCCTTCTGTAGCACGATGTTACATTTTGGGATTACGTATGCTCCAACAAGGTCCACATGTGTGGATATCTACTTGCTGAAAACGAATCCCGGCGTAGCTACAGATGGCGTTTATTGCGCAATTTGTAGTATTTTCTAAAACGGACTGTTAAGACAGCAGGTAAAAGTTGGTCTGTGTTCTGTCGGAGCTGCCTGCGACGCGCTGATGAGATCCAAAAAGATCGAAATCGCGATCCGCGGCTGGCAGTTTCGACAGAATACAGGCCATTTCGAATTATTTTAAAATAAAATATTTCAATTAATATTTCGTATATATGCATGTCTACTCC